TCCTCTCGGGGTCCGTCCATTTCCTCAAACAATTCCTGCTAGCCTGCCCTAAACTCGTATTTTAAGGTATCTCGTCCTCCTATGGTGCTTCGCATGATAACTCAGCTTCCCTCCCGGCCCGTAATCCATACGTCGGAGGCTACGCAGCAACGTACGGATCGCCATACGGTAACTACGGTAGCAGCCAGACGGTGGCCACCACGCCGTCTCCACTACACTTGGCTTCTCTGTACAGCCTGAGGCCGGAGGAGGTGTACACAAGGTGGGGTCTAGCATTTGTGTGTTTCCTCTAACGACTTGTCAAAGCTCTATAAAGCTCTAGTAATCAGGGAAAGGTTTTTGAACTCAGCTTCGTTTTCCTGAATGAAACAATTATTTTGCCAATCAAAAAGGTAAACAAAAGGAATTATTGCGTAGAAAACTAGCTTGGCTGATTTCGGTAAATGTGACTTAACGGGGGGGGGGGAAGGAGAAATAACGGGGGTAAAGATTCGAGGGCATAGTCGTAATCGATCTCCTAAATTGCAGAATTATTCCAGGCAGCTATTGAAAAATTATGTTTTGTTAAATTACATTACCCTGGTCATTTTAATAATTTTAATAAATTTAACATGTTGAAATAATACTTTTTCAGGACTGGTTCTTCGCAAAATTACTTTAGGCTTTTGTTGAAAATTACTGTTTCATTTCCTAATTGATGAATAGAAATGGAATGCGCAATTAATCTTGGATTTGATTTATCCCTATTTGTCGTCTTTTAAAAATCATGGCCGTCCAATCCTTGATCATAAAATTTGTTTCTATTTTATAAATTCAGAATTTGAAAAACGAATTTCGTCGACGATTTAAAAAACAATGTTTTGACTAAAAGCATCAAATAATCAAGTTTAAAGGCCTTAATAATAATTTGTTTGTTGGCGTAATTCACGTTACTTCAGATCTTACTAAATCCGTTATGGTCAGCCACAAAATGTACGTTTCTTTAAAACGAATGGATCCTTCAATGCATAAGGTATTAGTCCAGCGTATCTTTTCTTGCGAAAATCAGTAACCAAGGCTCAGTTTTGATTATATTACCACTTAAAAAATGGCTACATTTTACTAAAAACGCTCATCAAAATACGTACTACGTTACCAGAAATGACTAATAGCTAAAAGTTGCCCCCCCGATAATGCGAAAGAACCTATTTTCCAAATTAGTAATGTCGAAGGCTAATTCCGGACGGATTTTTCAAAACAGATGTTTTGACTAATTCCATAAAATAATGAATTTTGATGGCCCTTAATAGAATTTGCCTCGCATCCTTCCAAATTATAATCATAAAATTTGTTTCTATTTTGCAAAATCAGAATGTAAAAAATCAATTTCGGTCGTCAATTTAAAAAACGATGTTTCGAATAAAAGCATCAAATAATCAATTTGAAAGGCCTTAATAATAATGCGATGTTACTGATCCTAACAATTCCGGAAAACCAGTGAAAAATCTGTGTTTCTTGAAAACGAATTGATCCCTGAATTAAAATAGTATTTAATGGGTGGGTTGTCAGTATGAAAATCATTAATTCAGGATCCCTTAGTTTCCACTTAAATGCATTCGGATTTTACCAAAACTCGCGGAAAAAACTTACTGTCACATTACTGGGCGTTCCTGGACTTATAGTGAAATGTTGGGCCCCCCGATAATGTGAAAGAAACTACTTTTCAAATTAGGAATTTCGAAAGGCTAATCCGGTCGGAGCTTGAAAAAAAGATGTTTTGACTAACTCTATAACACAGTTGATTTTGATAGGCCGTAATTCCTTAGCGATTCATCTTTTTTCACATATTCACAGTCATATCCTCAGAATTTTAGAAGTCGGACAAGCCTTTCATTAATTAACGTTTCATTGAATTAGATGGTTGCCAAACTTAATTGGGCGGTAATTTCTCGTCAATGCATGATTTAAAATTCAATCAATGCTAGGAATTAATGGATAATTAGCGCACAGAATTTGCCTCGCATCCGTCCAGTTTTTGATCATAAAATTTGTTTCTATTTTGCAAATTCAGAAATGGTTAAATCAATTACGGTCCACGCTTAAAAAAATATGTTTGGACTAATTCGATCAAATAATTAAACTTAGAGGCTTTAATAATAATTCGTGTTTTTTGGGAATGTTCGTTCCTTCAGAGCTTCCTAGAACCGATAGGCCAGCAAATAAATGTATGTTTCTTTAAAACGAATGGATCCTTGAATTCATACGGTAATTAATACAGAGCATTTGATGAGTTGATAATTATTAAATCAGGTCCATTTTGTATGGTATTACTAGTTATAATAGAGTCAAATTTTACTAAAAACCCTCTAAAAAACTTACCATTACGTGACCAAGCAGAGTTATAGAGAAAAAGTTGCCCCCCCCCAATAATGCAAAAGAACTTATATTTCAAGACAGGGAACTTGAAAACAAACCATTTGTTTGTTTTTGAAAATAGATGTTTTGTGTGGTCGCATCAAACAATTATTTTTTTATGTGTTTTAATTCCTTTTGATCCTTGGATGCGCGCGCCAGAAATTAGTCAGTTAGGCCTATTAAAAATCAATGTTTCCGTGAATTAAATTGTTGACTGCATTGATCTGGCTGTAATTTTATGGTGTGATCGCTTGCAAAAATGTAATCGTTGAAAAAGTAAGAAAGGATAGTGATATCGCGCCGAAAAATTTACTAAATTTATCTGATTAGAGTTTGAAACATCACTTTGAAGCAAGGCGCCGTAATAAATAAATTCAGGCCCAGCAACCTACCCCGTATCAGCCAAAAAACTTCTCCGGCGGGTTTGGTGGAAATTAGCACGGATTTGCCGGCGGCTACGGTAGCCGGAAGTAGCTACGGGACCAGCCTATCGACGATTCGAGGGAGTACGGTAAGCATCATGGTTAGATTCTTGTTAAAAGAGCCATGTTAAAGTATCCAGGCTTCATGCCAAGCGGCCACAAAAAATGTTTCTGAATTATGCGAGTCAATGTAGGCTCGAAGGAAGTTAATCCGTCCACGCAATTCTCGCCATCCATATTGACAAATTCTACAAAAATACCATAAATTTTATATGTGACAGATTCCTAGTTTTTGACGGTATGTTAGGAGTACGGAAAACAAAATACAAAATAACCAAAATTCCTGCATTAAAAAAGCCCATAAACGTCATGAATTTCCCGAAAAAACAAAGATATGTTTCTAATTCTTAGGAGTTTATATATTCTTTGCGTAGCCTAATTTCCCCGTGTTCTGGGTCATTAAGTAACTATCGGTAATTTAGCTATAAAGGCTATGATTTTCCTTACAATCAAAGCTTTTTTGCGAGTAGCTTGGGCTACAGCTTAGTTTAAGATTAGGCTTCGGCTTCGCATAGGCTTGGGCATAGGCTTAGGCTTAAGATTTGACTGGGTTTTAACTTCAAAACCAAACTTTGCAACTTTTTATAACCTTCACTTCAGAGCACCGTAGCGGCAAGCACCGTAACGTCAAGCCCGATTACCGTATACTCGGCCACGCCCACCCCGCTTACGACTACGACAGACTACACACTACAAACGCTAACCCCAGCCGTTACGCAAAGTGGAGAGGCCATCGGCAGATTGACAGCCCTTCAACTTGACGAGACAAGGAGGAAAATTATGAAATTCATGAAAAATTGAGATTTTTTGCATTTAATGATGCCTGTAAATAAATGATACCTTACAAGAGAAATGAAAAAAATAATTAGGCGAGCTTGCAGAGATTGTTTGAAGGAAATGGACGGACCCCGAGAGGAGGGCAGGCTAGCAGAGATTGTTTGAGGAAATGGACGGACCCCGAGGAGGAGGGCAGGCTAGCAGAGATTGTTTGAGGAAATGGACGGACCCGAGAGGAGGGCAGGCTAGCAGAGATTGTTTGAGGAAATGGACGGACCCCGAGAGGAGGGCAGGCTAGCAGAGATTGTTTGAGGAAATGGACGGACCCCGAGAGGAGGGCAGGCTAGCAGAGATTGGAGGAGGAAATGGACGGACCCCGAGAGGAGGGCAGGCTAGCAGAGATTGTTTGAGGAAATGGACGGACCCCGAGAGGAGGGCAGGCTAGCAGAGATTGTTTGAGGAAATGGACGGACCCCGAGAGGAGGGCAGGCTAGCAGAGATTGTTTGAGGAAATGGACGGACCCCGAGAGGAGGGCAGGCTAGCAGAGATTGTTTGAGGAAATGGACGGACCCCGAGAGGAGGGCAGGCTAGCAGAGATTGTTTGAGGAAATGGACGGACCCCGAGAGGAGGGCAGGCTAGCAGAGATTGTTTTGAGGAAATGGACGGACCCCGAGAGGAGGGCAGGCTAGCAGAGGGTGTTTGAGGAAATGGACGGACCCCGAGAGGAGGGCAGGCTAGCAGAGATTGTTTGAGGAAATGGACGGACCCCGAGAGGAGGGCAGGCTAGCAGAGATTGTTTGAGGAAATGGACGGACCCCGAGAGGAGGGCAGGCTAGCAGAGATTGTTTGAGGAAATGGACGGACCCCGAGAGGAGGGCAGGCTAGCAGAGATTGGAGGAGGAAATGGACGGACCCCGAGAGGAGGGCAGGCTAGCAGAGATTGTTTGAGGAAATGGACGGACCCCGAGAGGAGGGCAGGCTAGCAGAGATTGTTTGAGGAAATGGACGGACCCCGAGGGGAGGGCAGGCTAGCAGAGATTGGAGGAGGAAATGGACGGACCCCGAGAGGAGGGCAGGCTAGCAGAGATTGGAGGAGGAGTTGGACGGACCCCGAGAGGAGGGCAGGCTAGCAGAGATTGGAGGAGGAAATGGACGGACCCCGAGAGGAGGGCAGGCTAGCAGAGATTGTTTGAGGAAATGGACGGACCCCGAGAGGAGGGCAGGCTAGCCGAGATTGTTTGAGGAAATTTTGAACAACATTTGAATCCGGGGAATTTAAATTCTTGCAACGTTCTCTCTGCCGCGAAAGAAACATGTTTCGTCATTGACCATTCCTGCCCGAAAAATGATGGTCGGAATGCGGTCTTCAATCCTGACCTCTGTATTCTTGCTTCTTCTCTCCGGACAAGGTCTTGGTATGTTTTATTCACCTTTTAACGCCGTTTTTTAGTATATGAGGACATTCAGTTAAGTGAGAATTATAATATTCACGATTTTTACACATATTTTAGTTCCCGTCGCCGGGCAGCTTCAAAATGCTACCGTAGACCTTGATGATGGCGCGGAAAATTCCACCCTCAACGTGCCACAACCGCTCTATCGTCATCTGAAGGCTGACAAGGATGGTACTGTCGTCTGAAATATTCATAGCTTTAAGAAGCGAGAGCGAGAGAGAGGGAGAGACAAAGAGAGGGACATAGCTACAGATAGAGCGAGAGAGAGAGAGACAGTGAGAGCGAGAGGGAGAGTGAGAATGAGAGAGAGAGAGAGAGAGAGAGAGAGAGAGAGATAGGGAGAAGGCGAGAGCGATAGAGATATATAGAGAAAGATAGAAAGAGAGCGAGGGAGAGAGAGAGACATAGCTACAGATAGAGCGAGAGAGAGCGAGAGGGAGAGAGAGAGCGACAGAGAGAGATATAGAGAAAGATAGAGAGAGAGAAAGAGTTCTAAATTTTGCAGCGGAGCTCGGCTGCCCGGTGTCTGGTGAGCGTCATACTGTATCCAGCCCCGACTGCAACCTGATCGGCCCATTTCCGAAGGGGCAACTGTTCTTCCGCGAGCACATCTCACCCGCCTACTTCAGTTACGGTAAGAGTTAGAAATATACCAAAAAAACTGATTTAATTTTCTATTCATTCAAACTCACCGATACCTTTAGTCTGCCCTGCCGGCCAGATTTTCTGCATGGAAATGAACGGTCGAGGGCTGGTCGACGGTGACGTGGGCTGCTACGCACCACAATTGACCACTTCAAAGGACGACTGTCGATGCAGTGGGTGTCAGGCTCACTTTAAATCAAACGGTTCTTTAGGATTTCCGGGGGAAAGTATTTCCGGGGGGGAAACCAAATTTTTCGGCCCAAGCCTAAATTTTTTTCTAAATAGCGCATGCGTTTCTAAATGGTTTTTAACTATTCCTGAGCATAAAAACTACCCACATTTTAATTAAAAAATTTAATTTTAGGTCGAAAAATCCTATAGAACCTTTAGGATTAGCGGGGGAAAGACCCAAAATGACCAATTTTCGACTTTTTTAAACATTTTTCTAACTTTTTTGAAAGGTTTTTCTACTTTAAATATAGCTAAAATTTACTAAAAACAATGTGAAAACAGTTTATATTTGATTACTAGGTCAACCGGGAAAACCAGGAAAAAATTTGGTTTCCCCCGGAAATACTTTCCCCGGAAATCCTAAAGAACCAATCAAACAATTGACTTGTTCGACGCATCATCACCAACTTTTCGACTTTTTCACACACTTTTTAAACTGTTTTTGCAAGTTCTGTTGTTTCTAATATTGTTAAAGCTTACTAAAAACAATATAACACACCAACCTGCACCCAGACTCCGTTTTTTTTGAATGGCTTCACCTATGCACCTATTGTGGAAAAATCACGCCGGTTGCGCGTTTTTTTTTGTGAAACACACTTTATGTTATGCCGTTTTCAACAAAAAAAACTTTTTTCTATTAATTGCATGTTCTAGAAAGGGTACATTTATACAATGAAATTATACAAATAGTTGATTTCCTAGAAAAGAGAGCCCAGCAAATTCTCAACTGCACCGGTCCATTAATCCTGCATTAAAATTTTGAGCAAGCTTGAGTTTGGAAGAAACATATTACTGATACCATTTCTTTCGATTTTTTAATGCTTTTTAACCGATTTTTCTGGGAAAATCTGAAGGGGTCTGCTACTTTTCCAAAGCTTACTAACCCCCTCCCCCACTTTTTACAACGAGGCATTCACTATCCGCCACAAACTGTTTTTGACGAAAACACGCCGCTTGGTCTTTTTTGTGAAACACCGTTTTTCTCATCACGCAGCGTCCAAAAAGCGCATTTTATAGGTTTTACCATGCCGGTTGTGATTAGTACCATTAATCTTGGACGCAATGCTATTCTACCCTTTGCATAATTGCCCTGAATCCAGATGACAAAACATGGAAAACAACCCCCCTCCAACCTCTTTATATAGGCAACCCCCACTTCCGGCCTATGCTAATTTTCCTAACAAAGAGGGTTTTACAAAAACCTAAATTTAATGTCGAAAATGGCTAATTTAAAAGGTCGGATATGCCTGCAGTCATCTCAAGCCCATAACGCGCCTAATAACGTATCGTACGCCCCTTAGATTTCTACCATGTTTGAGATATGCCTGGAACGACGATACGGAAGTGGATGCAAAATGGCACAGACACACATACACTATTTTTTTATATTTAGTAGGGGTAGGATACCGTGGCTAAATTAACAAAATGATCAACGTGATAATCCAGGATTGTAGCTTTCAACAATATTGATTTTTGCCGAAACATTTTATTTTTTGCAGTATCTTGCATATTTTCTAGCGATTTTGATCGCAAAAATTTCCGCGAGTCCTACTTTTGATTTAAAAACTTTAAGAAAAATATATATAGCATAAATGCAGCTTCTGCCGCAAATGGAAAAACCTAAATTTTTCAGCCGAACTCAACCCCAACCAACACCCCGGATTGCTGGCCCCCGTCAGCGCCGGATTATTGGCACACTACCGCGCGCTTTCTCTACTCTTCGTGAGCCACAATTTCCTAAAGAATCCCCGCTAGCCGGCCCTATGATTTTAATATTTACTAATTTAATTGGCCTATTTTCCACGCTATTTTTTTTCAGGGGCGAGGGAAATGCGGCGCGGCTGCGCAGTTTGAGAGTGGACCCGTGGCTACTACGGCGGTAATTGATATTTAATTTATTTTTAATCCAATATTTAATTCAATTTTGGCTTTCAGGCAACCACCACGCCCACGACGTCGTCTACCACACCATCTACCACTGCCTCATCTACCACCGCGACGACGACCTCAAGGCCTCAGCCAGCAAATGAACCGGCAGTTACCCAGGGTAGGTTAGGAATTTCCTAAAAAATCTCTGCTAGCCTGCCCTCCTCTCGGGGTCCGTCCATTTCCTCCTCCAATCTCTGCTAGCCTGCCCTCCTCTAGGGGTCCGTCCATTTCCTCAAACAATCTCTGCTAGCCTGCCCTCCTCTCGGGGTCCGTCCATTTCCTCCTCCAATCTCTGCTAGCCTGCCCTCCTCTCGGGGTCCGTCCATTTCCTCCTCCAATCTCTGCTAGCCTGCCCTCCTCCTCGGGGTCCGTCCATTTCCTCCTCCAATCTCCTGCTAGCCTGCCCTCCCCTCTCGGGGTCCGTCCATTTCCTCCTCCAATCTCTGCTAGCCTGCCCTCCTCTCGGGGTCCGTCCATTTCCTCAAACAATCTCTGCTAGCCTGCTCTTCTAGGCAACCTAGCAACGATCATTTAAGGCTCTATCATCTGCCCAGCCGACGGCTACCCATGGACCCACAGTAACCCGGACTGCCACGCATCCACCAAGCGCATCGACCCGACCCGCGTCTTTTTCGGGGAACAAGCCAACGTTACGGTGTACTACGGTAAGTACGCTTAGGTTTAGGCTTAGGCTTAGTAGTGGGCTTTGGATGATCTGGACGTCTATAAAGTTACTTTGTTGTTACCCCCGCTATTGCGAAAAACATGAAAAAACCGATCCACAAAATCCATAGAAAATCCGGCCTTGCGTGGACCTTTAGAGGGCCATTATAAGGCGAGAATTCAAATTTCAATTTTTTTAGAAAACAGAATAATCATTTCAGCCTGCGCCGAGGGTACGGTATTCTGCGCGGGCGTATACGAGACTGTTGCGGGCATCCCGGTGCCCTTTCAAGACTTCTTGTCCCCTCCCCCTCCGATGCTGCTACCGTACGCCGGCTGCTACCGTAACGGGACCGTGGCCGCGCCTGCGAATCGATGCAAATGCTGTGGGTTTCTGGTGGGATACGGTAGTTCCGGTGGGGTACGGTAGTGATGTCCTTACGGTAGCGGGGTGGAACGTAGCGTACTGCATTTCATAACTGATTTTTCAGCAGCGCATGCGTCGAATTTCACAGCCGAGACGTCGCTCGTCTACACGGTCAGCGCCGAGCTCGAGGAGTTGCGGGGGCAGCTGTGGAATGTAAAATATTCTAAAACATTTTAATTTAGAAAAACACAGCTAGTAAGACCTTAAAAAGCGTTAATTCATCTCGACAGAATTCATAAATGGGTTCTTGTGCATTACCGGGGGGCGGAGATTTATGATTTTTTTTGGACAGATTTGATCTATTTTTTGGGTCTAATAATGCCTCGTAAGTGAATAGCAAGTATTTTTGTAGTCTTTTTAGTTAAATGTAGCTATGCTTTCATTTAAAAACTTTCGAAAACCCTATAAACAAAATCGAACTTTCGTCTAAAAACGGTCATTTTGGTCGAAAAATCGATATTTTTGTCGTTTTCGGTGAGAATTTGTAAAGTTTTTGCTTTAGCCAGTAAAAAACAGCTTAAAAACACTTCCGATATTTATATTTCCGAAATTCTATCCTAAATAAACCAAAAAGGTCAGAAAGGCGTGTCATAAAAATGAGTGTTTCCCTTTTCTAAACCACCTCGTGCCGAGTTGTGGCGTTAATTTCTCTAAGTTCTGTTGTCCCAAACTAAAATTGAATACAAAATTTCTAAACTCTTTCATTCCAGGGAAGCACGCGAACGTGTCGCGGGCTCGATGCCGACGCGTTGCGGCCGCGCCACGCCACGCTCCGGGTCTATGAGGTATCCTTGAAAGAACGTTACAATATAGATGTTTCGTATGCAATAGCTGCAAAAAAAATTAAAATTACCTTTAATACCCATTCGTCCAGCATGCATTCAAAAAATATATTTCGCACGAAAATAAGTTTAAACATAAGACTGGGCTTTTATTAAGATACTCGTCGTTGGACTTACTGTCCCATGTTTCAAACTTGCTTCGTTTTTTTCAGCGCTACCCGCGCTCCTCCACCGCCACCACCAACGTCATCTACTCGAAGCTGGTCACCATCATTTGCCTCTACTTCTCGATTTCTCTGCGCTCTCTTGCTCTCTAGCCTCTCTCTCGCTTCCGTTTTCTTTTGGCTCGTCGCCTTGTGATTTTCATCGTGCTTTTTCGCGAAAATAAATCTGAGAGAAATCGCATTTCCCGCAAAGAATCTCTGCTAGCCTGCCATTGATTTAAAAGACTAGCTCCAACAGCGTAACATTAATCAGTAACTCCAACAATTATTCATGCAAGATCATGTGACAAATTTTTTTGAAAACTTACGAATTTTCTTGGTGCACGACGTTATGGGTTTTTACAAAGAAGATGGCTTCACAAGATTTTTTTCTTACATAGAAAAATTTATTATTGATTTTTATTTTATTTTATTTATTTATTATTAAAATTTATTTTGATTGGAGTAGTTCGTTTTCGCAAAAAATCTTATCGAGTTTGAGATGAAACACTAATTTCCTCAAAGAGTCACTGGGGGCTATCTGGGAAAAATGTATTTATTCGAAAAGAGTACAGTGTTGCCTGATTATTTCATGTAATGTAATTTTTTATCTAACCAGCGCCCAAAACCCGCTTCGCGGGCCTTGGGCGCTGGAATGCGGCCTCTGCATAAAAAATTTGACTTTCCGATAGCCCGGGTCCTGTGGACCCCCTTCCCCCGCCCCCGACCAAACCCGCGAGTGCAACTGGCCAGAATGTGTAAATTTGTATTTTTTCACATTATGCAAATTAGCCCTCCTGGACCCCCAAAAATGAATAAAACCGGCTTTAACTTTGTAAACTTGTATTTTATCGAAATTCTGAAAGCGCCATCGGAAAGAGGAGGGTCGATTCCCCCAAGTGACGGAAAAATAGCGCATTTTATCCAGGGGAAGGTCCTTAAATCAGGCGTCGAAAGTGACATCCACACACACACACACACACACACACACACACACACACACACACAAAGATACGCGACCAAATTATATATTACCAGCGCCCAAAACCCGCTTCGCGGGCCTTGTGCGCTGGAATGGTGCGTTTGCATGAGAAATTTGACTTTTCCGGTAGCTCAGGGCTCCGGACCCCCCACCACACGCGCGCGAGCAACTCGCAAGAATTAGCAAATTTGTATTTTTTCACATTATGCAAATTAGCCCTCAGGGACCCCCAAAAATGAATAAAACCGGCTTTAACTTTGTAAACTTGTATTTTATCGAAATTCTGAGAACGCCATCGGAAACAGAAGGGTCGATTCCCCCGGGTGACTTGAATTAGGGCGTTTTATGCACGGGAAGGCCCTCAAATCGGGCCTCGAAACTGACATCCACACACACACACAAAGATTCACGCCAAAATTATAAAAGGTAGGATCTAATATAAATAATAATAATGTAATGTCAATAAATAAGGTGAAGGTATCTCGTACATCTATTAAGCAGTAACTCCAACAAATAATCATGCAAAATGGTGAAACACATATTATCAAAACTCCGAATTTTCGCGATGTAAAACGGGATGGCCTTTGACAGAGGAGACTTTACAAGCTTTTTTCTTCATTATGAAGAAAGGCATAAACGAATTTTCACAATAAAATCCAAACACCCGAGTCAGCATAAGGGTGCTGGTGTCGTCATAGTCCGCGGTATGTCCATGGCTAACGATTTTCATGGCCACCCGGGGGGTAAACGGCTAAATAAATCGATAATTTGCGGTCGAACGACAATAATAGATAAAAAAAGTTAAAAACAATAGATTAAAAATGAAAAATAAAGCAGAAATCATTTAGGGGATCGTTCGAAAAAATTAGGTTTTGAATGCATATCCTGTCCCGAATAGGGGATTCCCAAAAAATTCATGATTGGGTTGAGATGAAACATCAATTTTTTCACAGCATTTGCTGGTTTCCCACGGAAATTCCTTTATTTATTCGGAAAGAGTTGTATCGTACTGTAGTCCGTAGTCATCCACGGGATTTGCAGCGAAGTGGACTGGATGCCAGGTTGTTGCAAGACGTCACACTGAAATTCTGAAATTGCTGGCACGCTGTCTTTAAAAGGGCCTGGAATGCAGAGAAGACCATGGGTTTTCTGGCCAAGAAACTTCTATTAAATTATTTCAAAAATAAAACTCGAAAACACAAATTTAAAACAACGGTTCTGAGCAACATTGTTTTGCAAAATCTGCAAAATTACCTTTGCTTGGAGAGCCCCATTTTGCCGGTGCAGCTCCCGGATCTGCTCCTCCATATCGGCAATTTTCTGATTTTTCTCCTCGACCTCCCTCTCTAACGCCTCTTTTCGCCGCTTCAGATCATCGCTCAGATTCTGAAGTCGGGGAACCTCATCACGCATCTAAAATTCTGGTTATATCTTTGTGTCACCATCCCTTTAGACCCACTTTTGCCATCGACTGCCGCCAACTCCGCGCATTTAGTCGCTTCTGCTCCTTTACCAATTCTTCTGGCGTTAGGTCTCCTGAGCCCTGAAAATATGGGCAGGCTAGCAGAGATTGGAGGAGGAAATGGACGGACCCCGAGAGGAGGGCAGGCTAGCAGAGATTGGAGGAGGAAATGGACGGACCCGAGAGGGCAGGCTACAGAGATTGGAGAGAAATGGACGGACCCCAGAGGAGGGCAGGCTAGCAGAGATTGTTTGAGGAAATGGACGGACCCCGAGAGGAGGGCAGGCTAGCAGAGATTGTTTGAGGAAATGGACGGACCCCGAGAGGAGGGCAGGCTAGCAGAGATTGGAGGAGGAAATGGACAGACCCCGAGAGGAGGGCAGGCTAGCAGAGATTGGAGGAGGAAATGGACGGACCCCGAGAGGAGGGCAGGCTAGCAGAGATACTTTGAGGAAATGTACCTTTGATTCGCTTCTGGCTTTTCGTTTTTGAGTTCGATTCGAGGGTGAATCTTCGGATTTAACTCGATCGTCGTTCTTGAATTTTTCGAAAAGTTGGTATTCAACAATTGTCATACCTCGGCTTCTCGTGCTCGCTTTGGAGCTGGAGGGGCTGGGATCAGGATAATGCGCTTTTCTAAAAATGCCTATATTTTTGCTTATACTGTTTTTGCGCTATGAGAATCGGGCCTTATCTGCAATTAGCATAAATCCAATCGGTTGTGCGGTGCTGAAACGCGAAAGAAAGAGAGAGAGAGAGATCGAGAGAGAGCGAGAGAGAGATGGGGAGAGAGAGAGAGAGAACGAGGGTGAGAGAGTGCACGCCGAAACATTAGGGAGCAAGAACTACCTGGTTTCGGATGTTCCAGCGACACCTTGGATTCAAAGGGTGCAACCGGATGTGGTCTCCCGGAACAGCCCGACGGAGCAGATGCAGTTGCAGACGTGCTCGCACCCTCGTCTATTTGCATGGCCTCAAAATTGAGAGGTTTTTACAGAATTCATCCTCACTTCTTTAACTAGCTCGTTTATCGCGCTGGTGCCGCCCAATTGTTCCGAGGCGGCGGAAGATCCGTTTTTAAGCATCTCGTTAAAGTCTCCTGACATTGTTAGGAGGGACTGAAAAACTATGGAGTTCAAAAAGGGAGAGAACGAGAGAGAGAGAGAGAGAGAGAGAGTGAGAGAGAGAGAGAGCAGGGGGAGAGAGAGGGACGGAGGGAGAGGGCGGAGGGAGAGGTGTAGGAGGGAGAAGGAGGGAGAGAAGAGATGGGAGAGAGAGAGAGAGAGAGAGAGAGAGAGTGAGCGAGAGAGAGAGGGAGAGAGAGAGAGGAAGCGATAGGGAGAGAGTGAGAGCGAGAGGGAGAGAGTGATAGAGAGGGAGAGAGAAAGAGAGAGCGAGAGAGTGAGAGCGAGCCAGAACGAATTTAAAAATACCTCCGTCTCGGTCATCGACGGGTCTCCAATGGCAGCAGCGTCCTAAATTTTAAAGAGGTTGACAGATTTAGAACACGGTTTCGGAACTCGATTGACTTTTCGACTTTTTAGCCACAGACATGGTGGCTCGGAACACATTTTTGTTACAGTTTAGTGGCCCAAATTCAAGCCAAAAATCAACCTCTATTGCGTCCTCATCCCAACAGTCCACCACCGCTGTCATCGCTAAAAAAATCACGAATAAGACGTTATTTTATTCCAATTAAAAAACGCAAAAAACTTTATCGCGAAAATAGGAACAGTAGCAATAAAAGGCGCTAAAAATGACCACAATAAATTACGCCGAAATAAATCATGGGACAATGCAAAAAAAAAATTTAAAGATGCAAGGATAACTCATGAAAATAAAGTTAGTAAGGTTCGAGATCCAGACTTTGGCAAGGAAATGTGATGAAATGCATTTTTTTCTCTATGATTTCCGGGTGGACCAAAATTGAGCTGGTGACCAAAAAATGGCGCAAGAAAATTTATCGATTGAATGAGTCGGAGGGGGGTGGCAGAGCGGAAAAGAGGGAGGAAGAGAGAGGGCGATAAGGGCCCCCGAGGTGCATCGCAAAGCATTGGCTTTTCGCTATTAGCAAGTATTCTAAATTTATTAAAAACAATAAAATATCTACTCAATAATTATAACTCCAAATACTATAAAAAAACTCCAAAAACGCATAAAAAGTTTAAAAGTGACTAAAACGACAAAATTCTGAAAAAATGCCGAAAAAGTAGATACGATGTTTCGTTTCAATAGCCCCCAAAATGCCAAATAAAAAACAGAATTGTACAAAAAAAAACCGATTCTCGGATGCTGTATAAATGGACAATCTTGGCAAGGCGAGACGAGCAAGGGAGAGGCAAGAGGAGAGAGAGAGAGAGAGAGAGACAGAGAGACAGAGAGACAGAGAGACAGACAGAGAGACAGCGAGACAGAGAGACAGAGAGACATATATAGTGAGAGAGCGCGAGAGCTAGAGAGTGGGGAGAGCGAGAGAGAGAGAGGGGGAGAGCGAGAGCGCGATAGAGAGAGGACAGAAAGGGAGAGATCACTTTATTAAAACCACAGGACATGTACCGGAATTAAACATGCATTAATAGGCGATACCGAGGATTTTTGATCGTTTCCTCGCATCTATTTCAGCAAATGACTTTGTTTGGGCATCGGGCGCTGCCGTTCCGGGTCGCGAATCCGCGCAATCAGCCGCCACACGCAGAAGATGATGGCTGAAAGGAAAAAGTTGGCTGAAGTTCCGTATACGGCAGGATCCGGCCTATTAATACGCCTGGCAGAACAGGGGCTAACTTTTTACGGTATGTAATTGCGGCGACACCGAATCATAAAAAAATGTTTAAAAACCATCGTAGTGTTCGTACAAGTACGCTACGATACGCTACGAGAGGCCGCTACAGTATGCCACAGTAGGCTAAAGACGTTTCAGTTCGTTAGTTCACGGTACTGAGCGCCGAAATTTCTTGTACCGTACTCTACAGTACGCAAGAATACGCCACGATACGGCAGGGCTACAGTCCCATCACCTGGAGTACGTTACAGTACGCTCGATTACCCTACAGTACGTTCGGGTACGTTACAATAGGTAATGGTCAGTTATAGTATGTTAAGTATTGTTAGCTCATTACAGTACATCCGGGTACGTTATCGTACTTTTGAGTACGTCACAGTACTATTGAGTACGCTGGAAACCCACTCGGCAACGTGGAGACGGCCCAGATTTGCAGCACGTGCGCCACCCAGCTAAAAAAAAACATGTTTTAATGTATTCCCTCAAGCGATGTTGGACCTGGTGAACTTTCAGAATCTCTAAAAATCAGAATCTCTAAATTTCGGAATCTCTAAATTTCGGAATCTCTAAATTTCGGAATCTCTAAATTTCGGAATCTCTAAATTCCGGAAATATTAGCAGATTCCTGGAAGCAAAACTATTATGTATCCAAATTTTTCAGATACAAAGACAAGATTTCCGATAAAACGAAAAGTAGACCCTCTGAAAAAGGTGTTTATCAACTCGTTGTTTCAAGGGCTTTCGAATGGTATGACTATCATCCCGATCCGACGCTTCTCCGTCGAGTTAGAGGGGGTCTACTTTTCGTTTTATCGGAAATCTTGTCTTTGTATCTGGAAAAGAACTTGGATAACATAACTAGTTTTTTGCTTCCAGGCGCATCTGCCCAGCTATTTCCGGAACTTAGAGATTCCGAAATTCCAGAGACTGAAATTTAGAGATCGGAAATTCCAGAGATCCTAAAATTAGAGATCCCTGATTCCTTACATAGATCTTTAATTTTTAGAGATTCTGATAGGGCGGCGTTGGACCTCCCAAATTATTATAGCTGCCGAAGCCCTGAAAAAAACCTACGCTTCTCCATACGGCTCCATCCGCAAGTCCCCTTCGCGTTTCTTCACTTCCGGTCCCGACGACAAACCGCCAGAGGTCGGCTTCCGGTTTTCTTAAGGCGGCAGGCTAGCAGAGATGCTTTCGGAAATAAAAAGTTATTTCAGGCGAAAATCAATGTTTCATGAAATTTTGCCTGAAATTGCTACTGGCACCATTTAATTAGATGTTGGCATTTGCATCTTAGCAATGTTTTGGCTGACGTGCGGTTTCACCGCCCCCAGCCGGCCCCTTTACAGCCATCACCTATCTCAGCTCCTGTCCGTACAGGTGTGTAAGTATACCAAAAATACTCGCCAGAGCAAGACGAACATTTTGTTATACTTTACACACCTGTAGATGAACAGGGAGCCGAGATACAAAAGTTGGGGCCCGGATAGGGGGGTAGGGAGTTCAGCCGTATTTTGTACAGTAACGTACCGTACACCGTAGCCGCATTAGTAGTAGCATTATAACCCAGCGTGCGGTTGCTCGTCGTGGCGTTGGTGGGCGACTGATCAGCTGCGGGTTTTGAAAAAGCTCTGAGATTACTATAAAGTTTCATACCTCCACTTGGCATGCGCTCCGAATAGTCGACGGGCGCTAAAAATATTAAAATATCTATCATAATTCTAAAGTGAAGATTACATATTAAAAGTAGCCGTACCTCCATCCTGGGAAAGCACGGCTGCCGGAATGAATAGAAGCAGAACAAGCGAATTGAAAAGCAGCATTTTAGGAGGATAGAGGCCAACCAGACACGAGGTGAAAACGGTTATTTTTTGGTCTTGATCTTCATCATATTCAGAAAATTCTATGGAAATCGCAGACCTTACCGTGCTTCTTAAAGCGCACGTTCAGGGAGGGGCCGTGTACTCGACCCAACGTGTACACCCTATGGACGTTGGGACCGCGCGCACTGCCTGCCCGTGCTGTGACAGGCCATTCCTCTCCTTTGTGGCGTGGGGCCCCCCGCGCCCCGCTCACCAGGTTGTGCTATGGCTGTGCCAACGCCTAAAATAGCGGCAATAAAGGCCTAAGCAACGCGAGCTCCATTCGTCAAGAAAATGGGGGGCCCAAACTTTGGAGGCTTATATCTTAAAAGATAAGACCTAACTTAAAAAAGCGTTCCAACTTTATAGAATGGGAGACGGCGAGTCTAATGATACTAAGAACTAAAAAAACTGAGTTCAAAAAGTATCAAAACGAAGGCGATCTTTATTTCGTTTGAATTTTCTGTGATTGCCGGGCTTTGAGGGTCGTTTGTATTGGTGTGTAGCGAACGGCCCTGGGAATGAGATAGCCTGGTGGTGAAACCTAAAATGCTTATAAAAATCTGCTACTTCATCGTTAAGGCTTGTCCAGTATACCAAAAATTCGCCTTTTTCGGGCTACAAAACGAGCCACAGGTCAGGATGCCTACATACCAAATAGCTGAGAAAATTACGAAAAAAGTCTGAGCCACCTATCCTTTTGTCATAAATTGTAGTAAGAAAGTAAAGGAAACGCTCTGGTAGTGATTCTATCGCCAAATTCTATTTTATTTCCTTTATCTTTTACATTTGCCTGTCCGATTACCCATCTAAAACATTCCCGAACCGAATTTGCTTGCCGTCGTGGTACGTAATAGCGGTGTAGCGCCCCGTAGCCTTCTGCCTAGGGAAAATAGAACCTGCAAGACCTGGACGACAAAACCAGCAAGATTTTTCGTGTATGGATTACACATGGTTTTTGCCGCATCGCAAGGCTCATGCTAGGCTTTCCCATGCGTAATCGATTCCGAACCGTAGTGTTGGGTTTTTGTTTGTGTTTTTTTCTACAGTATTTTGGTCTCGCTGCGAAGAGGCTGTACCAAAAAGAATGTTTCTAAGAAATCCCCTCGTGACCTGAAGGCAGGAAAAGACAATGAAAGTTCCGTTGATAGACTCGTTCCCTTGCCGAAAACAGTTTGTTTCTTTTTGAATATAGGTATTAGTAGCTTTGAAATGGCGTCGTTTTTGAATTCTTTCGGAGTTTTGCGACATGACACATTCGATAGAGCGGGAAATTCCCACCACAACCAATCTTGCAAAAAATGTTGAGCTATGAAGGGCTCCGAACTAAGGTGCCCGAAAGCTTACAGAGCGTTAAACGCGTCCAGAAATGGAACAAAATCGGCTTCTTTAGAACAGATTTTCAAAATACCGCAACGCTTCGGTAATCTTTGAAAAAGGGGATGCGGTTCAGAATTGAAAGCTCTTCCTAATGAACTTTGTCACGTCACAAAAGCTCCTCAAAACGACTCTTTTGGGTTAAGTAAGGGCCGAAAACCCCAATCCTTTTCCTCCCATGATCTCTGCTAGTCTGCCGGAGTGGATCCGTATAAACGTATGTTTCACTACTAGAGGTGAATCCAATCACACGTACTGCGATTAATTGTACGTTCGGAATCGCGCAATCGTTATCGATGGCAATAAAATCTTAAAGAATTGCTGCTGATTTGCCGAGCTTTTTTAGAGATATCTACTAGCCTGCCAAGCTTCTTTATACCCTGTAAAAGTCAAAGGAGCAAAACTCCATAGAAGCAGAAAAAATGTTTCTCCAAAACCCCAGACGAATTGCCGAAAATCATAAGGAATTGACAATTGAAGCATTAGCTCCCTTCTCCGCCATCTTTCAAGCCCAAAAACACTGTACAGGGTGTCGCAAAAAAAGGTGTCCGGCGCGCAGTCGTGTCCGATTTCCACCGTTTAGGTATCAGACGAAAGCTCTCGAAAAGGCGAGAAAACAAGGAGGGTTCATTTTTTTATTATGTATTTTTATTAGCAAATTTTACGTCCAAAAACCATGAAAACGGCAGATTTACGCGAGTTCTGCATGCTAATCGCGAAATTCCCATTGGAAATCTACCTGTTTTTTTAGAAAAACGTTGAATATCCAGCGTATAAAAATAAATCTCATAAAATGAATCCTGCTTGTTTTCTCGCTTTTCCGAGAGCTTTCGAATGGTATGAAAATTATCCCGATCTGAGCTTCCCCCGGACCGCTAGAGGGGGGCTTTTTTTGGGACACCCAGTAGTTCTGGACACACGTCTCTTCTGGTTCCATGAAACCATGAAAAATTCTGAAAGGGGCTCGGAAGTCAAAATTCTTCGGCAAGGGGACTAAACCTACTCATCAAAACACGAAAGGGTCACGGTCCAGAAGTACCAGAAAAGCGATTTTATTTCGAAAAAAAGTAAGATATTTCAGTAAAACTGAAGTGTTCCTGGGGGCGAAACGGGCTTTCTGAGTGCGCTATAATTCCATGTCCTAAGCCAAAGCCTTTTTAAAAAGGCGAAATTTTTAGCAAAAACGGGCATTTTTGGTCGAAAAATCGATAATTCTGATATTTTTTTACCAATTTGTAAAGATTTTACGTTGAAGAATAGTAAAAAATCACTTAAAAACACGTCCACCATTGATATTTGAAATGTTAGATTCTAAGGAAGGACGTTGATCTCCCCCGATAATGCGAAAGTCGCAAAGTAACAGGACAAAATAGAATGTGTTTCAAGAAGATATATTTAAGAAGCCTGGTTTCGAGGAAACAATTGTTGTTCACGAAGCCAGTTGTTATGAATCCAAACGCTACTTTTACCGAATATTTTGCAGCCTTTTTCGGGCCGCAGAATACGATAAAATCGAATTTCCCGAAAACACATTTTATTCCAGAACGGGGCGAACCAGCAGAGATAATTGAAATCGAAATAATTCCACAGGAAATTCCGGAGGACGAATAAATAAGAGGGAGGAGAAATAATGGGTCAAATCGTTTGATGAAGGAGGCGATCGAAGACGAGAGAGAGCAGAGACGCACACAGCAAAAATGGTGGTGGCGTGGGGGCGGACGTCTTCGACAGGTCGTTCTGCAATTGGAAATTGGTTCTTGTGTATTCCCGGGGGGCGAGAATTCGCGGGGCGAAACCAACTTTTTTTGTGGGCCCTGGTGGGGATAGTGATCAAATATAAAGTGTTTTCACATTGTTTTTAGCAAAATTTAGGCCTATTTGAATCGGAAAAACTTTTTAAAGAGTTAGAAAAACGCTTGAAAAAGTCGAAAATTTGGTCATTTTTCGCCGAAAAAATTGATTTTTCGACCTAAAATTAAATTTTTAATTAAATTTTGTAAAGTTTCTATGTGTAAGAACAATTTCGGTTCCCCCCCCCCCTCCCCGCTCGCAAGGTTTCTCAAAAAACACCGTTTTTTGCCGACGAAGAAACCAAAAAATAACGATTTTCGACCAAAATTTCACTCTTAGCAACATTTGGCAACGTTTTAAGATGGTCTTCACTTAAAATATACTCAAAATCTAACTAAACTTACCATTAAATAACTTACTTTTCGGGCATTCGGGTATTGGAAAAATAATTTGTTTCATGGAATTATGAGGGCCAGTCTTATTTTGTGATGGTAATCCCAGGTCGGTAGCACTTTCAAGTCCTCCCAAATCCTGAAAAAGCCGTACCTTCCCGGGAATTTCCTCGCCGGAGGATCGCTTCGGGGTTGGGATTGGCCAGGAGGCGGGTCGAAGCGTCTGGAAAGCTGTCAGTGAAAGCGAGAGAGAGCGAGAGAGAGAGAGAGAGAGAGAGAGAGAGAGAGAAAGAGAGAGAGAGAGCTAGAAAGATCAGGTGAGTACCGTAGTGCTTCTAGTCGTTCTAGTCGTGGTTGTAGTAGTACTTGACGTAGTTGTCGGCGGGAAAAACGCCTGACCGCCACAATTGTTCTAAAAACTTTGTACGTCTTCAGCCCGCTTGAACGTACCACCGGCGCCATGGCAAGGTTCGCCTTCCAAAAAGCCATCACATCTGGGTGCGCTGCAACAAGGCGACTCGGTCGATTTCCTCCTCCAATCTCTGCTAGCCTGCCCTCCTCTCGGGGTCCGTCGATTTCCTCAAACAATCTCTGCTAGCTTGCCCTCCTCTCGGGGTCCGTCCATTTCCTCAAACAATCTCTGCTAGCCTGCCGAAAAATCACTTACGGGTGGATGCCAGTGTTGGCTGTGTGTCATTTGCGGAAAAAGTCGCTGAAAAAGGTATATTAAATTTAGAGTCCACTCAACTGCAATGACAATTGTGGCCGAAAATATTGGAGAACGCGTAGCATCCAATTTCAGTGTCGTTCAACTGACGTCCATTCAAAGTCACGCACATCACGCCCATGATACCGCATGCTGAAGAGGAGAGAGTGTGCGAGAAGTGAGAGCGCGCGACAGAGAGAAGAGAAAGAGAGAGTGAGGGAGAGAAAAAAAAAGGAAAAAAGGAGAGAAGAGGAGAGGAAGGGAGAGAGAGCGAGAGAGAGAGAGGGAGAAAGAGAGAGACAGAGAGAGAGAGAGAGAGAGAGAGAGAGAGCGAGAGTGAGAGAGAACGCGAGAGAGTGCGAGAGAGAGAGAGAGAGAGAGAGAGAGAGAGAGAGAGAGAGAGTGAGAGTGTGATAGAGAAAGACCTACAATATGTATACATCGTGCCATTCAAGAGCCGTGAGTAGAAGACGTGGAAGCCCGGATACGGCCAGGCTGGCGTTGGCATCTGGCAACTGCTGCTCGGTCCCACCGGAATTTGGAGATCGCAGAATACTAAAAAAATTGAGTTTGGCTTTTTAAGGCCTTTAAAGGGGTTGGCAAGGTTAAAATCCGCTTTCTAAAACCGTTGGATAAATCACCGTACCCGTCGTTTCGTTTCGCAATTGGCCGACGGTCAAGGGTACGGTAGCAACGAAAATGTACAGCAACAAGAAGAAGGGCAGCGGCTCTGGGGCGACCATTTCCAGATTAGAAGTCCGAAATTTGTTAATTAGATCTTCCGGGAACCGATCTCAAATCTGTTTTTGTATGCAATCCGCTAAATGAGGTAATTTGGAGATATCGCTGCGTCTTGTTCACCCTGAAAAAGCGCCGTTTATTTGGTAAAGAAAAGCTGAAGTCGAAGATGAGAAAAAGCCCGCAGCTGCAGAAAAATTATCTTAAGAGCATTCTAAAACAAAAAAAAACTTTGAAAATAATTTTTTGTAAAACTATGTTTCCGAGAATTTTGGAGACCAGCCAAGTTTTATGCTTTTAATGTTCCTGGCTTTCGTGTGGTATATTCTGAGTTACCGTAACATGCGGCGGAGGCAATTCTGGATTTCAACCTTGAACATGCATGAATTTTTTCATTTTCGGCTGCGCCGCGACACGCAACGCCTGGCATTTCGTTGCGTAATCGATGATCTAGCCGGTTCATATAATACAAGTGGCGTGCGTAGAAGTATCGTAATTTCAAATTCAGGAAAATCTGCAATTAAGGAATGTCTTAAAATTTAACCATCGATTACGTAACTTAATTCGCGAGCGTTGTAATCGAGCAAGCTAGCAGGGATTCTTTAGGACAAGCAAGTAGCCTTTCACCAAATTTGCTATCGGGCGTCTTTCCATACCTCCTAGATTTGGCAGAGATTCCAGTCTCAGTATTACACTCCAATGGCCCGAATTCGGCAGCCCCTATTTCTGGCTATTTGGTGCCTTCTGCTCGCCCATTCCACGGCTTCACCGCCGTACCGGAAGTTCAGGTTAGGAAATTCAGATTCAAGCGAGCGAGAGAGAGAGAGAGCATCAGAGCGAGAGAACAGGAAAGAAGGAGATGAAGAGAGGGGAGAGAGAGAGCGAGACAGACAGAGAGAGAGCGAGTGTGCGAGAGAGCGAGAGAGAAAAAGAGAGCGAGTGCGACAGAGTGAGAGTGAGAGAGACAAAAAGAGATAGAGAGAGAGAGAGAGAGAGAGAGAGAGAGAGGTGGAGAGAGAGCAAGTGAAAGACTTCCATTTTTCAGCCGGTCGGAAATTCAACACGTTCGAATTCGACATCGGCTAGCAACTCGACGACCAGGGCCACCACCACAGTGCCGTCCACTACCGTATTCCCGCCTCCCGTCGACCTGGGTAGGCTAGCAGAGATTCTTTGAGGAAACCAAAACCGGGGCAATCTAGCAAAGATCATTTTAGGCGCCATCTACTGCCCGGTGAAAGGCCCGGCCTGGATGGGTCCCGCCACGCAGTGCACGATCCCGCCGCGTAACGTCCGCCCCGAGCAGGTCGCTTTCGGGGAGCTGATCAACGGGACGACCGTGTTCTACGGTAAGCCGTCAGCCCATAGCTATCATACGAAGGCAGGTACCTACCCCCTTAAAATACCGTTTACAGTGTGTGAGGGCGATTCGTGGTACTGTAACGCCGTCTGGGAGTATCGCGCCGCCGGCCAATTCGTCTCCAACGAGCTCGGCTGCTACAAGAAGGCTGAAGTCATGTTTCAGAATGATCCGAAGGATCGAGTCGCATGTGATTGCAGTGAGTCTGAGGCCGCTAGCCGAGATTCTTGAGGAAATGGACGGACCCCAAGAGGAGGGCAGGCTAGCAGAGATTGGAGGAGGAAATGGACGGACCCCGAGAGGAGGGCAGGCTAGCAGAGATTGGAGGAGGAAATGGACGGACCCCGAGAGGAGGGCAGGCTAGCAGAGATTGTTTGAGGAAATGGACGGGCCTTGTATTTTTAGTGGCTCGCGTCAACGGCGCCGACCCTGTGGCCCTCTACCCGGCCAGCGGCGCATTAATATCTCTGGCGCAGCAATACAGGGACGCTGAGCGGGATGATGTCCGGGGTCCGAAAATTGTGGGTGAATACGAATTTGATGGCGTAACTGGTTATCCTTTACGCTTCCAAGGCAAGATCTGGGGGTAAAAAACTGCAAAATCCTGCAATGCGATTCAGATAACGTTGATGAAATTCGCCCGTTCCGTCATAAAATTGTGAAGTCATAATTAAAATTCATTATTTTATTAAATGAGAAGAGAAAATCCTGATTTTGGGTTTTTAGGACCGTTCCTGTGGCTCAACCATGTTCCCGATGGTGCGCCCCGCTGGCATGAAGATGGCCGCCGAGGTATGGGTAATTCTTGTCTCTGTCTGTCTGTCTCTTTCTCTCTCTCACGCTCACTCGCTCTCGCTCTTGTTCTCGCTCTCGCCTGCAGTCTGGCTCTCGCTAATGGTCTAGCCGTCTCTCTCTCTCTCTCTCTCTCTCTCTCTCTCTCTCTCTCTCTCTCTCTCCTATTTCTCTCACTCTCTCTATCTCTCGCTCTCTATGTCTTTGTCTCTCTCCCGCTCTCGCCCTCCTTCCCGCTCTAGCCAATGCTCGTGCGCCAGCTCTCTATCTCTCTCTCTCGCTCTCTAGCTCCCTCTCCCGCTCTCTCGCACTCTACCTCTCTTTCCTGCCGCGTTTTTTCATTGCGTAATCGGTTGGTTTCATTCGAATTGCGAATGAGAAAAGGCGTTTGAAACGATAGAGTGTACCCCCCTGCTAACGCAAAAGATCTGCAGGGCCATTTATTGAATTTCTTCCGGCTGTCGCTATCCCTTCAATTTCTTAAATTTTCAGGTAGCCCACTCCAGCGCCGATTCGCCGTCTTCATGGGCCTCACTTCTCCATCTTCTCCTCCTCGCCGTCGCCATCCTCCTCCAATAAACTCATATCACAGAATGCATACCGAATCTTGGCTCGAAATCGATCGCTACTCCGATAAAGAATTTTGTACAAAAATTATTGTTGCATATCATGTCCAATTGAAATGTAATTTTCCTGGAACCAATACATGGATTTGATCATTTGATCGCTTACCAATACTACGTGATTCAAGCATTTTATTCAAATTTGTGATCATTTTAAGACGATCCGATCAGCGTATTATCAAATAGTAAAAAATACGGTTCTCGACTTTACCATTTCGGACAATTTTTCTGGACTTTTTTATACTTCTTCGGGGGGATTTTAGCCGGGGGACTATTTTACTATTTTTCCCCTTGGTTCTCTACGACCCTACAACCAAATATAAACCATTTTTATGTCAATTTACGTAGTTTTTAGATATAAAACAATCTAAAAATGATAAAAAATTTCGGCAATGTTTTACTTTTTCTGAAAAATGGAGGAAAAATGATCAAAAAAAGTAAGATTTTCTAATTTTCGAATTTTTAAAAGTATTTTTATAAATTTCTAGCATTCAAAAACCATTAAAAACACTAAAAATACATATTACAACATCGACAGGACGACGACAACGATCGAGGGAAACAAACAGAAGGTGGTTTGCCCCGCCACCCTTTAGATCAAAAAATCGCCAGGAAAAACCTCCCACCTGGCCCACTGTTCCAGTTCCTAAGGTAACTTTCAGCTCTTCAATTGTCAGCCGACAGGCACTCTCTCTCTCTCTCGCTACCTCTCTCTCTAGCTCTCTCGTCCCGGCGACGAGCCCCCGATGAGCTACGGACCGGCGATCCCCGGCAACCGTCAAACCCAGTGCGGGGACTGGGCACAAATTTTTGGAAGCACCTCCGGGTGCAAAATTACTTCACATTTTTACGTCGTTTTCGACATTTTTCATGCCAAAGCTATACGGCTTTTCCAGTAAACTCAATTTAATCGACTCAAGCGCCATCCCAGCTGTGTTTTCTCAAAGAGTGCCTATGCGTTTCTGTGTTTTTTTATCTCATCACCTGATTTGCTTATCGAATTATGGTTCCAAATCGATCACTGCCTCGAAGACTTTTAAAGCAAAAAAAATGTTGCATAAAATTTCAATTTTTGATTTTTTTTTTTGGGAGCTAATGCATGGCTACATCGAGGCGTAAAAGGCTCTTTTAAGCTTTCACAAATGTATCACATGAAAATTTTTGGTCATTTTCCATGGCCACCCGACAATGAAATTATTAGGATTCTGAAAATGAAGTATTTCCAATGGTTCCATGAAATTTGCTTAAATTAACAGTTCGTATTCCGGGGGAGGGCTCGTCTTTCGGAGTAGAGGCTCCGCTTCAGGACCCTGAAAATTCGAAATCTAGACGGCAGGCTAGCCGAGATTCTTTGAGGAAATGGTACAGGCTAGCAGAGATTCTTTAGGAAACGATGAAAAAATGCCAACCTCAATTTCCTCGCTGACCATTTTCCAGTTTCTCCTTGCTATCGTAGCCATCAGTGCAGAGAATCCGACCACAAAAAGCAGGTAGTACTGTAGACATGAGCCGAATGTGAATGGGGCCAACGACGTGAAGAAGGAAATGCAGATCGAAGAGATGGCGAGACATAGCTGAAAAATAGTTCTGATTTTTCTCAAAGAATCTCTGCTAGCCTGCTTAAAAGTAAAGTTTAAAAGCTCCTAAAAACTGACCTGCGTCACCGTAACCAGATATTCTTGCGGAAGTATTTCAGTAGCCACCACAAATGGCAACGCAGTGACCCCGGTGGCTTCGAGTGTTTTCGTCAGGAGGACATTGAGGTAGCCTGAAATTGGGAAATTTTATGTGTGTAACCGATTACGGCATCAAATTCTACCCTGAAAAGCTCAATTTTGTCAAAAAACCGGTTTTGCAATTATTCGACTGGGCATCAAGTTTCTAACTAGTGAAACAAAAAATTTTAAGGTCTGTGAAAGTGTTTGAATACGGGCAAAGTAGAAAAAATATCTTGAAATTTTTCTGTTTTCGGTATTTTTCATCCCAAAAAAGCACAAAAACCAAAAAAAAATGGAAAATTATTTGCAGCCAATGAAGAATTCGCAATGAGGTGATTCAGATGTTTCTCAATTTTACTAGTTAGACGAATGCCTCGAGATGGCAGTAAGTACTCTCTCGGGAACTCGCAACCACTCCTAATCGAGTAGAATTTGTCATCTGATTCCCGATAAATTCTAAAACATTAAAATTTTTGAGAGATTTTGTTAAATCGTCGGTTAGACCATTAATTTTGGCTATGGACAAATTCAATTTGACCATTGTAAGTTTTCGAATGGCAGTATTGTCATAGTGGAATTCTATCTAATTTGAAGTTCCTAGTTTTCCGCCTGAAAGTTAACTTTTAACGTTCCTGTAGTTCTTTCCTTGGTTATTCGATTACGCCATCAAAAGCTGCAGAAATCTGGATTTCAGTGACTATTATAATTGTTTTCTGTTTTATTAGTATTGTGTTTAGGCCTAGCGAATTCTGGTCCCTCAAAATGCTGGTTTTTTTCATAGCGTCGGATCCCGATTAGAGAGATTCCCTGCCTTCCGAATCCGTTCGACTTGTGAAATATAAAATTTTTGAGGGTTTTTTCCGGAAAGAACTGATTACGCAGCAATTAAGCAGGAATTGGAAATTTTGAGAGCTTCCGATTGTTCCTGACTTTTCATTGCTCGGCCCAGACTCCGATATTTCACCAATTACACGTGGAAGTTCAGGACCTTGAACAAACGAGATTTTTGAAAAGAGGTTGGTCATTATTCGACGCGATTTTAGTCTAGTTATCTGGTTGAATGGTGAAAGATATAATTTTAACGTTCCTCTCCGGGAGTATTCGAATAGGCCATGAAACGATGGAGAAAGTGACAATTATTATTGTTTTCTGTTTTACTATTGTTGTTTTTAGGCTTTAACCAGTTATGCTATGAAATTCTGGTCCCTCAAAATGCTGATTTTTAAGTTGCGTCGAAATCCCAATTAGATAGGTTCCCGCCTTCCGAATCCGTTCAACGCGTGCAATATAAAAATTTTTGAGGATTTTTTTCGGAAATAACTGATTACGCAGCAATTAGGCAGGAATTGGAAATTTTGATAGATTCTGATGGTTTCTCACTTTTCGATGCTCGGTCCAGGTTCCGGTTTTTTCACCAATTACACGTGGAAATCCAGGACCTTGAACCAAAGATATTTTTGAAGTAAAGTTGGTCGGATTATTCACGTCAATTTTAGTCTGCTTACCTCATTAAACCGTGAAAGTTATGATTTTTAACGTTCCTTTATTTCTTTCCTTCATTATTCGATTACGCGATCAAACTATGGAGCAGGCTGGATTTCAGTCACTATTATCATTGTTTTCTGTTTTTATTGTTATAGTTTTTAGGCCTTCAGAATTACGCTATGAAATTCTGATCCTTCAAAAATGCTTGTTTGCCCGTCAGAACCGGATTAGATCGATTCCCGCCTTCCGAATCCGTTCAACGCGTGAAATATAAAAATTTTTGAGGGTTTTTTCGGAAATAACTGATTACGCAGGAATTAGGCAGGAATTGGAAATGTTGATAGATTTGATAGATAGACTGGTTAGGCTAGCCATGAGGCGGAATACAAGTTTAGACGGATTCTCCTGGTTTCTCAATTTAAACTCCTGGATTTTGACCAAATTCAAAACATTTAAAACCAGGGTTATTCAAAAACTCCGAAAATTCCGAGAACGGAGGCACCAAAACAAAATCGAGAATCCGATAACTCAGCAAATTTTTATTTCCTGGTCTCATTAAGCTATGAAACATAAATTTTAGGGCTTTGCATTGTGATGAGCTGATTATGTTAGTGCATTAGAGGAAACTAAATAGAAATTTAGGCGGATTCTCCTGGTTTCTCAATTTCTCAATTTAAACTCCTGGACTTCACCGATTACGCGTCAAAGTTCCAAACATTCAAAGTCTATCCAGTAATTCAGTCAAATTTTTACTTCATGGTTTCCTTAAACTGTGAAAGATATAATTTTGGGCGGCATTACGCCAGGAGTAATTGATTACGCTAGTGAATTCCTGATTCCTGGATTCTTGGCGCAAATTCTTGACTCCCTGACCCCTTTAACCCCCAAAATACCGAACTCTAGCTGGTTTTTTTTCGGTGGTCTATGTATTGGTGGTCTAAGTAGTGGTCTAAGCGGTGGTCTAAGTATTACTGGGTTCTGGTTCATTAACGTGGGGGGCGTGGCCTCCCCCCCGGTAATGAACCAGGACTAGGGTTGGCATTTGAGGAAACCGGTTTCCGATCTCTTGTATTTGAATCAATGTTTGGATTGACCGGATTGTATTGAAATCGATTTTTCAATTGCATCCGATCGATCGATTCTGCATAAAAACCGATTTGAATAGGATCCGATTTGATCGGTTCTCGAAAAACCGGTTTTTTATTCGAAACCGATCGATCGGTTTCGGAAAAAAAATCGGACTCCAGGCGAGAAACCGAGCGGAAATGAACCGATTTATGCCGAATTTTGGATGCAAATCATTTTTTTGGTGCTTGGCAGGCAGTGGTCCTACGATTTTTTGAAACTAAGCCGTTCTTATCCTCCAAAAAATGGATATATTCCTTCCAGACATGATGGCTCTGGAAGTTACGACCTGACCCCCAATTTCAGCACAAAAAATGAGGAATATCGTGATTTGCATCCAAAATTCGGCATAAATCGGTTCATTTCCGCTCGGTTTATCGCCTGGAATCCGATTTTTTTTCCGAAACCGATCGATCGGTTTCGAATCAAAAACCGGTTTTTCGAGAACCGATCAAATCGGATCCTATTCAAATCGGTTTTTATGCAGAATCGATCGATCGGATGCAATTGAAAAATCGATTTCAATACAATCCGGTCAATCCAAACATTGATTCAAATCCAAGAGATCGGAAACCGGTTTCCTCAAATGCCAACCCTAACCAGGACCGAGAAAAGTGCGTCATAAAATTCAGAGAATAACACAATTTGAAGCGCAAATTAGCTATACTTTTCTCTACCCCACTACCCCAAAACATCATACACTTTTTTAGAATTTTGCGTATAATTTTCATCACCCACAAAGCGCCTCGATCTGCAGCTCCGAATTGACGATGTGAAGCGTGGCTTTGAGGAGGAAAAGTGGGAGCACGATGTGGAATATTTTTTTCTTTTCTAATTTGTTTAGCAGCAGCGGACCGAGCCATTGAATTGGGGCCAGGATGACGAAGAGCACCAGTGTCATCGTTAGGATCTATAAAAATACTGAAAACCATTTAATTTACTAATTAATAAGATTAAAAACATATTAAAATTTTAAAATGAAAGCTATGTATCAATATTTTTTTCAGTATCTGGTTAATATTAACTTTTAAAATGTATTCAATTCCAAAGAATTTAAATAGGGCTATAAAATATATGATAGAAATTAAAAAAGCATATTAAAATAAATCGGACAATAAGCGTTACAATCGAAAACCTTCAAAAAAAGTTTGAGCGCTGTTTTACTAGAAAAATGTTTCAAAAAGTACACTCACTCTTGCACGATTGTTTCATGCAGTTAGCGATGGTATTAGTTGTACAGTTAGTTCGAAATCAATTATTATGCGCTCAATTAAAAATTCGAAAAGCTAGTAGAAATTTCAACCTACCGAATTGACGCTCATCCCCTCTTCGCGATAGACTGGAATGGCGAATTCCGCCTCCAATAAAACAATATTTGTCATTAGAAATAGCTGCAACGAGGCGACGAGCAGGAATTTCTGAAATTAGGCAGGCTAGCAGAGATTGTTTGAGGAAAAATCTATTTTTGGCGTAAAAGCTCACATTTCCAAGGCCGGCCTTGGGCACGATGACGCGGCGAAATTTTTGAAAATGCTGCTGGTAGAACGAGGTGAGTGTGAATTCATCTGAACGATTTTGTGTGATGTTTTCGACAATTTAGAGGCTTGAGTATTCGTAAAAATTCAGGTTCGGCGATTGACATATTAACCGACCCACACCGATGCGCTGGTCGGAGAGGTATGAAACATTTCATGGTAAATAATTATTTTTGAGCAATTATTTTTAACTGAACGCATATGGATTGTACTACTGCAAAAGAATGCATAGCTGAAAAACCATGAAACGTTTCTTTTTTCGTAATGACCAAAGTATCGAAAATTGCAATTCTCAATACTTTTGAAATCTTAAAACAGGATTTCCCAGTTCGTTTCTGCAGAGAACTTATGCTAGAAAATGTGTGAAGGCATAATCCATCAAAAAAATATGCGGTTTTTGACGGGTTCAATTCGTCACATTTGATCGACCGTTCTACATGCGGTCGTTTGTTGTAAGAGGACAGTTGCTCTCGTTCAAAAACCTTGAAACATTTTTTCGGGATATGTGCAGATAAGATGGTCAAACATCATCAACTATAATAATTTTCTTGACGCGTCTGTCCGGCTGTCTGTCTGTCTGAAGCCGAATTCAACTCGAAGGGGAAAGGAGCTAGAGCTTAGCTCTCTTCGGATTCGGATAGAGCGTGGTCAGAAACCCCCAAACTGATAAAAAAATTATGAAAAACTTTTAGTTTAAATTATTAAAATTAACTTTGAAAGTGGCGCCTTAATAAAACGAGTGGGGGCGCCTCTCCCTGGAAGCCGCGCCCCCTTTCCCTTCGCCCCTCTTCCCCAGGCCCCTTCGCGCGCCCAAATAGCTTTCTAAATTACTTTAATACTTTTTAATACTTTTTAATCATGTTAATTAATTATTTAAATCATCTAAAGCCATCAGGAAGGTGTTTAGGTAGTTTTTGAAGGAGATTTCAGCCATGGGGGGTATTAATGGAGGTAGGAAAGGATGTGGTGGAGTGGGACATGTAGGGTAGCCCGAAGGCCAGATGGTTGCAGTCGCGAAGCGACTGTAACCATCTGGTAAACAAAATATTTTGGGCTAAAATCGATGATGGAATTCATTTTTGTATCAAATTTTTAAGCGCAGAACAACATGTATGCCCCGAATCGCCAAATCAGTTTTGCTGCAAAGACTGTTAATCGATTAAACGGCATAAAAATTTTTCATGATACACAAAGGTTGAAACATACCCTTTAGTCCGGGCCTTCCACTCGGCAGCTTTGAGCCAACGATCAGCATTAATAGGTTCAGGAACTGAAATTTGCAAGGTTTAAAGTGGTGGAAATGGCCAGACTATGGGCCCTTCTGGGCGCTTGATTTCTTTTGGTTTTTTTATATTTTATTTCGATTTTGCCGCTCCGCGACACGCAACGCGCGCAGCTCGGCCCCATAAAGGACTCGTAATCCGTGACGTAATGAAAGGGCAGGCCTACGCGTTGCGTGTCGCCGATTTAGTAAATCGAGAAATCCATTGCCCTTCGCTTCCTGGTACCTTTAATGTGCATAATTAAGTTACTTCTTTTATGGCATGTGAAATTAGAGGATTAGATGACATTCGTTAATTGCGCCATAACAAGTATTAGCGGCAGGGCGAGAAAAATTTTTGAGAACTCCCAAAAAGGACCGCCGCCAGGCGATTTCTGACTAGGGTTTAGACCAGCGCCGCAATAGCGGCGCCAGTTTTTTCGTAATTGGAACGATAATTGTTGCGAAAATAATGAAAAAATCGTGATTTTTTTGTAATTTACCTGTGTTGTAAATTTGTTTTTGCTTGTTGTAATAAATATTTGTAATAAATATTGCGTTACTTGTTACCAACCGTGAAGCAGTCATAGGCAACTGAAGAAAAAAATGGCAACTGAAGCAGAGGAAGATGTAGAAATTCTCTAAATTTATTCCTACAAAGCTACCTAAACTACAGACTACATCTGCGTTATATTCTTATTCGGAAAAATCCTGATGCAACACGAACCGATGCGTTGATGTGGTCAGCGACGTGAGCCGTTTCCAGTACATTATCGTACGGAGCAGATAGAACATCGAAAAATCTGAATTAAAAGTCTCAACTCTCCTTAACCAAATTATTGAAAGCTCTCAGATCAGCTTACGGGTTAGCCAAATTATGCAAGTGCTGTGTCTACTACAGACGCAAACTACAAAAATTTTTCAAAGCCGTTTGCAGTATCGGCTCGTAGTTGCTGACCCTGAACCTAACGAAAATCCGTATAAAAATCATATTTCGGTGCTCCTTTGTCGAATCGCTTCGAAACTTCTTTGGTAAGTCGGATTGGGTACCGTCTGTATTAGGTAAAAATTTTAAATCGATCCGAGCCATTTAAAATATAGCTTGGGACCAGCGACTGCAAAACCAAATTTTTCATCTATTTTGGACATAAGGCCCTATGTTGGCCCTTTTGGCCCCCCTTAACCCGGCTCGATCGAGATGAAACTTCGACGCAAGATAGCTCCAAGTATCTACGACCTGATACAAACATAAAATTGGAGAAAGTTTTTATTTCCAGGGAGCCTGGGACCGGCGAAAATCCATTATTTTGGACACAGAATCGAACCATTTTCCGTTTTTTCCTCTTAACTCCGCAGTCATCCATTATTTTTCCTCGAGGCTTACGCGGGTGGTAGTCCTTTTCACCGCGATCATTTTCATATATAACTCAAAAAAATTGGCCGGCGCTCCGCGACGCCTGGGACCAAACTTCTTTTGGACATGACCCCTTTTCGCGATTTACTATGGGCAAAAACAGTAAAAAAAAAATCAGTTCTTGGCGCTCCATTGTCGAATTGCTTTGAAACTTTCTTGGTGAGGTGGACTATGTACGGTCTACATTGTATAAAAATTTCAAATTTATCCGAGCCATTTAAGGTATACTTTAGAACCAGCGACTGCCACGGTCCCTTCAATATCAACTTTGGTAACGCCCTGTCCAAAGTAAGTTTGGTCCCAGGCGTCGCGGAGCGCCGGCCAATTTTTTTGAGTTATATATGAAAATGATCGCGGTGAAAAGGACTACCACCCGCGTAAGCCTCGAGGAAAAATAATGGATGACTGCGGAGTTAAGAGGAAAAAACGGAAAATGGTTCGATTCTGTGTCCAAAATAATGGATTTTCGCCGGTCCCAGGCTCCCTGGAAATAAAAACTTTCTCCAATTTTATGTTTGTATCAGGTCGTAGATACTTGGAGCTATCTTGCGTCGAAGTTTCATCTCGATCGAGCCGGGTTAAGGGGGCCAAAAGGGCCAACATAGGGCCTTATGTCCAAAATAGATGAAAAAATTTGGTTTTGCAGTCGCTGGTCCCAAGCTATATTTTAAATGGCTCGGATCGATTTAAAATTTTTACCTAATACAGACGGTACCCAATCCGACTTACCAAAGAAGTTTCGAAGCGATTCGACAAAGGAGCACCGAAATATGATTTTTATACGGATTTTCGTTAGGTTCAGGGTCAGCAACTACGAGCCGATACTGCAAACGGCTTTGAAAAATTTTTGTAGTTTGCGTCTGTAGTAGACACAGCACTTGCATAATTTGGCTAACCCGTAAGCTGAACTGAGAGCTTTCAATAATTTGGTTAAGGAGAGTTGAGACTTTTAATTCAGATTTTTCGATGTTCTATCTGCTCCGTACGATAATTTACTGGAAACGGCTCACGTCGCTGACCACATCAACGCATCGGTTCGTGTTGCATCAGGATTTTTCCGAATAAGAATATAACGCAGATGTAGTCTGTAGTTTAGGTAGCTTTGTAGGAATAAATTTAGAGAATTTCTACATCTTCCTCTGCTTCAGTTGCCATTTTTTTCTTCAGTTGCCTATGACTGCTTCACGGTTGGTAACAAGTAACGCAATATTTATTACAAATATTTATTACAACAAGCAAAAACAAATTTACAACACAGGTAAATTACAAAAAAATCACATAGTCAACGGTAGATTCTTAAAAGATGCAATGGCGCCGAAGGCGCCGGAAAAAAATTGCGATTTTACTAGTGCTTAGACCAGCGCCCCGACCCATTTTGGGACCAGCGCCCTCCAGTTTCTGTCCAAAAGGATCGCGCCCTGATTAGCGGTGGTTTTGGGTTTACAAAACACATTTTTTCTCAGTTCAGGTTTGCTCTGGAAAATGCATTTTTGCGAGTGGCAACCTTTTAAGAGACCAAACTACAATTAGCATGAATAGATACTGGAACAATTAAAAAACGCAAGGCGGGAATTGCAAACACCGTATTAACGTATTTGCACGCGTTACTACAGTAGTTATTTTTCCACTTGAGTTTAAAGAAAGATGTTTTGTGAAAATCCAATGCTCCATAGGGTTTTGATTCATTAATTTAAGCTTCCTCTGCGTCAAATATTTCTTTTTATTGGATTAAATCATAACATATCAGCACTAATAGATAGTCAAGCCTTCAAAAAAAAATCGCAAAGCGGGAATTGCAATCACGCGTTAGCATTTCATCTCGGGTTTCAAGAAAGATGTTTTGCGAAAATCCAATGATCCATTGATTTTTAATTCATGAATATAAACGCCGCTTGCTTCGGATATTTCTTTTTATTGGATTAGATTATAACATAAACTAATTCGTTAACTAGACTCATTTCCAAATTTTTTTACGAGTTACCAAGTGTGTTTTCGCAAAACTTTTTGAACATATTAATCGGGCACCTATGCCACTTAAGTTTTGGTTTTCCAGTAATCAGATGCCAAAATACGTCACTAAATTGCCCTTGGCGTAATTAATTAATCCAAATTTATATACATTTTATAAAATAACATACCAGCGTTAAAATGGGGATGTATCCCCATTTTTCCGGCGTTCCCCAAACGTCTTCGCGGGCCAACAGATGGCAAACGCCGCCGTAGATCGGCAAAAATGATAGTGAGAGCGTGGCGAAGAAGCCTTAAAAACGTAAAGCTTGTTCTAAATATATATATACATACAAAAATATAAAGGACAAAATTAAAAGGTCTCAGTTGGAAATCAGAAGTTTCAAAAATTTCTGAAACGCGCGCTTTATTTGCTTTTTTTATTAAGTCTTTCCACTTTGGATACCCTAAACTTCGAGACAAATTATAGAAAAAAGTAGAAAAATGGCTATAAATAAAGTAGAAAAATTCGTTATAAATAAAGTAAAAAGTCATAGTTCAAAAAATTTTCAAATATCCCGACATATTTGACTTTCCAATACCCCGAGACACACCGCCGGAAAATAAATGTATTGCCTTAGAAAACTATAAAGTTGGTTTCAAAATAGCTTACATTTAAAGCGCACAAAAATTCGCTAGCACAATTAAAAATTTTACGTTCCAAAAATTTTAGATATCCAAATAAATTTAGGTTTGTAATAGCGTCAGTTTTCGCAGACCGATAAATCAGTCAATAAAAAAATCCATTAAGCTTGATTACAAAAACGCGATCAGCATCAAAACATAGATAATTAAAAAGAATCCCCTCTAAAACACCAAAAAAAAAAATGAAGATGGAACCCCGGGTGTTATCTTAGAGGGAATACGGCAATTAAAAATCAATCTTAAAAATTTGAAAGTTTCATAAAATTCCCAATCCCAATTGTTTTAATATTTTATAATTGCTCTTGAGTACGCCCCATGCTGCTTCGAAAATCTCAACCCACTTCTGTGCTGAGCCGGAGCGATTTCACTCAAAAATATGATATCTCCCAGCATCATCACGGCAACAGGAATAATTATACAGCCCAATCCAAGTAGGTAGAAGATTCCGTTTTGTACGATCCACGAGAGGATGAAGAGTGAAACGCCAAGTGTTGTCATTCCGAATCTGAAAATCACGAACATTCCTAAAATATCTCTGCTAGCCTGCCCTCCTCTCGGGGTTCGTCCATTTCCTCCTCCAATCTCTGCTAGCCTGCCCTCCTCTCGGGGTTCGTCCATTTCCTCCTCCAATCTCTGCTAGCCTGCCCTCCTCTCGGGGTCCGTCCATTTCCTCCTCCAATCTCTGCTAGCCTGCCCTCCTCTCGGGGTCCGTCCATTTCCTCCTCCAATCTCTGCTAGCCTGCCCTCCTCTCGGGGTCCGTCCATTTCCTCAAACAATCTCTGCTAGCCTGCCCTCCTCTCGGGGTCCGTCCATTTCCTCAAACAATCTCTGCTAGCCTGCCCTCCTCTCAAGGTCCGTCCATTTCCTCAAACAATCTCTGCTAGCCTGCCCTCCTCTCGGGGTCCGTCCATTTCCTCAAACAATCTCTGCTAGCCTGCCCTCCTCTCGGGGTCCGTCCATTTCCTCAAACAATCTCTGCTTGCACTCACTTTACATAGACACATATCGGTTTTCTTCCATAATAATCCATTAAAGGGACGACGACAGCTAGGGAGACGATCATCCCAGAAAGGCCCATCCAGCCGACGGCGGAGAGTAGTAAGGTACCACTGAAATAGTAGAGATACGGTAGCAGACAACGATACAGGCTCTTCATTAGTGACTCCAAACGATTCTCGGGTTTCGTAAATTTTGGAAACATATTTTTGATAAGATAGCAAAGAAAAATTTTAGAAGAAAGCATGGATACTGTTTTCTCGGTAATGAATTCCCATGATTTTGCCACTCCGCGATACGCGACGCGCGCATCAGTATTCCGAAACAATTCAATGTTTCAGAAAAGTGATGGTAAGTCCAGAAACAAATAAAAATATTGGTACATAATTAATTCCAAGAAAAAATTCTTAGTAGTCTTTAATTTTTAGTAAGCTAATTTTTCCGGGTTCGAAAGCTTTACCCACCCGTCATTGATGCCAAAAATCTCGCTGCTCGTCTTGTTGAACATCACCATTAGCGGGGCGTTGATCAGGGCTTGGAGCTGCAGAAAAAGGTTTTATTTCATGTCAATCACCTACACAGAATTACTACACACTGGAAAGCTGAAACAGATAACGTTTTGAAACACTTCGCTAAATGAAAAGGGTTTTACAATCCGAAACGGTTAAAAATGCAACACATACTACAAACAAACACAACGATTAGTATTATAAAAGGGGATTATTCTAATGATTCTTATTATTATTATTATTTTGGGGTAATAACGATTAAGCTACATCACTTCATCAAAGAAGTAAGCAGACGTGGATTACTCGGTGAAAAATTCTAAAACACAATAATTTTAAAATTTACTTGTACCGTTGGTCAAGTGTTCCATTTTCTGTTTTAACTTAATCGTTTTAAAAATAAGATTACATTAAATGGCGTGCAGAAATGAAAGATGCATCCAAATTAGACAAACTAAGGCCAAAAGGGAAAAGTCATCTTTGACCGCCTCACTTGGATCATAAATTAAAGGAAATGCATGTTCTGTCGGGGCTAATATACGTGAAACATCAACACACAAAAAATTGATTGGTCGTTTTACCACAAGTTACATATTTTTGCCTAATCCCTTTTTAAAAAAACTGGCGACAGTAACTTTTGAGTATATAAAATTACACCAATAAAAGTTTAAAAAGTCAGCTGCCGTTTTCAGGTTCTTAATGACCAGCCAGATGACAGAATAGCTTAAAATTTAGCGAAATTCAGACTAAAAACTGCAAAATACAATAGTACAAACCTGGAGCATGGCTGCAGTGGCCCCGGTGGCAAACCCATACAAAATGCATCGGAGTAACAAGGCTCTTGGGAACTCTTCTGAGGCAATTTTCGAGCGTCGGCTGCATTCTGAAATTTGCAAACTTAATAGTTTTTTGTTTTTTAGTCATTACAAAGATAATGAATATTTTTGCAGAAAAATTAGGGGATTATTTTCCGGAAGTAAGGACGATCCTGGAAAAGAGACGTACATTACAGGTTATACAAATCCGATAGCATCATCAAATAACCTGCCAAAAACGAAATTGAGAATGGCGCTGGGTAAAACACAATTTTTTTGCAGGTTGTGGGTAAAATGAAAAAACTTTTTAAAAGATTGGGCGCCTCGAGTAGTGCAGATTAGGCCTCCTCGTAAATTAGCCACTTTCCGCTTGATGCTTATTTTAAATAAGCTCCCTTCTTATACGTTAAAAAACCGAGCCGATTACTCCGCGAAATTCGCAACTAGGTGAAAAAGGCGTTTCCGGGACTGTTTAAACTGGTTATTCAGGAATGTATACGCTTCTTACTTCCTTAAAACCATGAAACCCATGATTTTGAAAGTTTTTCCGTTTTCAACTGATTAGGTCATGAAATCAGTCGGCTATGACAGGCCCGTATTCCAGTACACTAGCGAAGGACTAACGCGCGCGTTGCATGTCGCGGCGCGGCCAAACCGATAAGGAATCCATCCCAGCAAAATTTATCGAATGACCTCTCCGGCCCTTTAAAACATTTTTCTTCACTTACTTCTCTCTTCTTCGAACGCCTTCAGATAGTGGTAGTCCATGTAGCCCTGGTGGAATTCGAGGTCCATTTTTTGTGCGAATTTAGGCTCTAAAAAGTTCTTTTTAGTTTCAGATATTTTTAAAGAGGCAATCATGCTTTCAAAAATATTCATCCGGGTTTGTCGAGGTGCCAAAAAGCTTATAAAAAGCAAAAAAGCTTGCCAGGAGTCGCTTTAAAATAAAGAAATTGTATCGAATTCGTAGGCGACTGAATTAGCGCAGCCGAATCACACCGGTTCATCTAATTCGATGAAACATATTTCCGGGAAATTTCTGAATTATTGAAAAAAAGATTTTCACGTCGAATTACAGTCGAATAACAATTCGAATCGAGATGCCTAGAGAAGATTTTGCGAAAGGTCTTTTTTCCTCATGAAGATGGAGGGCCTTCCCGCTTGACAAACTAGCGATGTAAGCACGGAAGCACGATATTATTGCTCCCCGATGACAAGCCTCTATACAATTCTTTGAAACATATTTTTAGAAACTGTAGAATATTTGATTTTCTGTCAAATCGCTGTGAGTTGATTACCTTCACTTTCCCTTTAAAAACGCTACAAACAGTGAAACCATTAAAAGCGCGCCTAATACAAAGGACACTCGAGATATTGCACCACATTCTCCCAAAACATATTTTTTCAAAATTCCAAAAATTGCTACACATTTTATTTCAGGTGAGCAGCACCATAACCCCATACCCGAAAAAAGCCCTTTACGTGCCTAATAAACTTCATCTGACGCAGACAGTGACTAATGTGAATGTTTTTCGATAAACCGCGCAGTCTTGTGGAACGTATTTTCCGCATATATTCCGAAAAATTGTTATTTTAACAAAAATTAAACGCTTTGTTTTAAAGAGATGAGGACGGCATCTGTTGAACCCCCCTTGGGGAGGGGGTCAACAGATGCAGCGGCGAGAGAGGGCGCCCAGGGGAGAGGCGCAGAGACATTTTCTTTCCCGCGCGTAATCGATTGACTGATGCCGCCCCTATCCCTTTAAGGATCGTGGAACTTGGGCCGGAAGGGGTATTGATGCCAGCTCCGCGCATTTGAGATCAAATTTAATTGAAACACGATTTTTCAAAAATGTCGATTTTTCGAAAATATGAAGAGAAGAACTGAATCTTAGAAACTGCCCAGCTTCCATGCCCATTTAAAACGGAACCGTCACTTGGATTTGCCAGAATAATAACCGAATAACTACGACTTTTTCATTGCGCTTTGATGAAACTCATTTTTTTCAAAAATTTCGTTTTTGCAAATACGATTTTTAACGAGCCTGGTCGCACAATCTCTTTAAAATCCACCAGTGGAGTCAAAAAGAATGAAAAGACTAGGGTCAAAGCCGGAAAGCCCTTGCAAAAATCCGGAAAAACTCAGGCGACAGGCTGTCACCAGAAAAGGCGATAAGAAAGGTACAATTCGGCAGGTACGCGCCTGTACGCGATGACGGACAGCACAGAACAATTCTGTGAAAAGGTCATCCGTTTTCCGAAAGTACCGGAAAATAGAAAAATTAAGTAAAAGCATTCTTTGACGTTTTAAAGGGACCGCGACAGCAAGGAAACGGACCCCAAAGTCGTGATAACTTCGTTGTTTTCTTTCTGATACTGCTGTAAATTTCACAAAAGTATTTAAGCCTCATCAGCTATCATTATTCGAAATCCTAGCTGGAAAGGGCAAATTAGCACAATTTCTACTCCTCAATTTTTTGATCTAGAAGCTGCCTTTGCTGATTTACTTGGGATTTTTATGGCTTTGCTTAATTTTTATCTTGTGTGATATGATTCATTAACGACTGCAACCAGCAATAGGCACAGCTAAAACTTGTTTTAGGCAAAAAACGTTTCAATTTACTGCAATCCTGACGCCCGCTCTGGCGCAACATTAGCTCTGGTGATCTGAAACTGAACCAACTGAAACCATCTGAACCAACTGAAATGCCAGCTGTAGACTTTTTGGAGATCAAAAATGTTTCGATTTTGTACGGTTTCATTGTCAGTTTTTGTACACTATTCCGAGGCACGTGTGGATAGACAATTCAGACTTCGTACAACTCCGATATTGTTAAGCAAACCTCTGCGGAATTCCTCAAAGAACATCTGCTAGCCTGCCCTCCCCTCGGGGTCCGTCCATTTCCTCCTCCAATCTCTGCTAGCCTGCCCTCCTCTCGGGGTCCGTCCATTTCCTCCTCCAATCTCTCTGCTA